TGTGCTATTGCCAATTTTCTGTAAAGCTAATTCATATTTTTTTTTAAAAATTTGCAAAATTTTTGTCACTGAAATTTTAACACGGAAATTTTTAATAATAAGCCTGACACAAAAATATACATAATAATCATACAAAAAATTATACCAGTGTGTAATGAAAGTTCTGGAGAATATATATATAAACTTTCATACTTCCAGATTTTCTAGAATTTTGTCAATTGGAAATAAAAGGAATTTGATTATTTTGAAAAAAACAATTTAATGTGTAAATTTCTTTAATAATTGCTCTAAAGCCTACATAATAACATGCTTCAAAAATTTCATATGTTATAATCTAAGATCCTCCGATTCTCTATTATAATTTTCATCATATAATTTTGGCTACTTTTTCATTAAAAACAATTTTTTTATCAACCGCTGTTTTTTTCTTAACACCCTGTATGCATAAAATAAATTTTGTTTGTTGCACAATATAAATGATTATTTATTTTTTTCTAGCCAACCAATTAAAATAATTTATTTAGACTTAATTGAATTTAGTGTTTGTATGGTTGGCTTGGTCTAAAGGCCTCCTAATGCTGCGCCACATACTCAAATTTCAAAAAAAAGCGTTTTCATGATTCATTCAAAAATGCAGTCAGGTTTTTTTCCAAATTTGGAATTTCCAAATACTGTAATGATCAATTCTAGATTCATTGTGTAATTCTAAAAATATTCTAAAAAAGAATCAAAACAAAAAATGATTGGCTAAATTTATGCAGATCTTTTCATATATAAATTAAAATAAGAGTTTTAAATTACAGTCAGGGACAGTGTTGAAAATTCAATGCCCGTAATGCCCGCGTGTAACATTACACACCAATCAATTTTTTAATTTTTGGAGATAGTTTCTAAATTTGTACTAGTTACACAACGAAATTTCAACACTGGTCAGGGATATTTCCATCGATGAAAATACTAAATACCGTAATGAAGAAATTCTGTTTGGCTAAATTCAACCACAAATAATACCCTGTAATGATAGACATCATGAAAGAAATTCTAATTGGCTAAATTCTGTGCAGATCTTTTCATTGAATAAAAAATTAAAGGAAGAAAAACATGGCAGGAGCTTTATTAATTAATTGGTCATATAATTTCCAAAATTATATAATATGTGCATTTTTAACTTTTCTACAAGCTTACCCAAGATCAAGCAATGCTAGAGATGCTATTTAACTAACATATTATTATATTAATAATGATTTTTATTCATTATTAAATAATTTATTAAGCTGAAATTCATCAGAACAAAATACTTCATTTAATCTTTAAAAATAGAATTTAAAATAATACCATATAAATTTCCTTGCCAACTCTGTTAAATAATAAATAAAGGACACAAAATCCATATAGTAAAAATAAGTAATGATTATACAGTCAAACCTCGTTATAACGAACCTCGTTATAATGGATTTTTGTTATACCGGACAAAACTTTATTTCTATTTTTTTTTATTAAATAAAAAATTTTGTTATAATGGATTTATATAATAAACCTCGTTATTCCATATAATGGACATTTATTGAAAATTTTATATATATTAATATTACTAGTCACGTTATACCAGATTTTTTGATGAACACAGATCATCTATACTAAAAATGTTCAAGTTTGTATTTTCACAATACATTCATTTTCCCTTTTCTACAATATATTA